GTTTTCTGAACCACATGTAGCTGCAGGTCACAGTGATACAGAACTAAACATGTAGAATACTTTGATATGAAATGTTTTTTATTGAACTTTCATAATTGAGCAGGTTTGACAAGTTGTACCACAGAAACTAGAATATTGGTGGATAGTTTGATCCCAGTAGAACAGAGTTGTTGCTTCTCCAAACATAAATATCCAGACTTCACACTGTAAATATTTCAGGTTTTTGGTTTCGACAGTTTAAACATGTGGAAGCTTCGTTAAACGTGTGTTTCCTGTTCAGGTTGCTTGCGGTCTGAACCACACTCTGGTCGTCTCTGCTGACGGGATGATGGTTTGGGCCTTCGGTGATGGAGATTATGGAAAACTGGGACTCGGTAACTCCACGGCCAAGTCCTCTCCTCAGGTACAGTCTGCTGCCTTATAACACATAAAGCTAACACCTGAAGGTAGCATCTAAAGGTAGCGCCTGTAGCTTGTGCCTGAAGGTAATGCCTGAAGGTAGCATCTGAAGGTAGCATCTGAAGGTAGCACCTGAAGGTAGCATCTGAAGGTAGCGCCTGAGGAAGCAGTTTTAAACGAACCTGTGTGTTTTAAATTCCTCAGAAAGTGGACGTGCTCTGTGGCATCGGCATCAAGAAAGTGGCCTGTGGGACTCAGTTCTCTGTGGCTTTAACCAAAGATGGCAAAGTTTTCACGTTTGGTCAAGGTAAGCTTTGGTTTCTGTCCTGACTTTTCTTTGAACCCTGTGTTTATCCTCTCTGTCACACACAAACCAAACAGAAAGCTCACCCAAAAAACTAAACAGTTCTTTAAATTTTAAGACTCCTCTCACTCGATTCAAATCAAACGGACTCATGCAGGTCTTTATAAATAACGTTAATGCCTCCGCATGTCTCTGCCTAATGAACGGATTAGTTTTAGATCCAACACGTAATCTTTGTTCTGTCTTTTATAATTTAAGTTCAGTGATTGTTTACATCCACATTGTGAAGCTTTTCTTTTTAAATACTGAACTTTCTTTATAAATAAGAACAGTGTTCAGATCCTCAGCATTTTTCTTGTCACAGAAGTTAAGAAAAGGAGTTAAAACATTCAGACTTTATTTCTTCAGCTGAATGAAAGGGTTACTGGAGGCTCTGTGTCGTGTTTTAAATCAGTCATAAGACATAAAGATCTCCTGAAACACAAGATTGAAATCATCAGACAGAAATTAGATGAAGACCAGATGAGCTCTGTGCAGACTGAAGGACGCTCGTTATTTAATTTATCTCCAACAAGGTGACGAGTTCCTTTAAATCTGAGCTTTCCTGTTACTGGAACTATTAAATGTCCTCTTCATTCTTCGACGAAACGATGATTAGATCTGATATTCAGCATTTTTCTGAATAACGATATCGTTGTTTTTGTTTTTTTTAAATGGATTCCAGATAAATAAACGTTAAGATGCTGTGTTGTGGCTCTAATGCAGCCTCCTGTCTGTCTGTGGAGCTCCTGTTCAGACTTCTACCTGATCTCAGGTCGAACACAAACGTTTATCTGTTGCTGCACAGTGAAGACGATCTGAAGCACTTGAGAGCGTTTAACAAAGAGGAGTGACTGTAAGAAGGGATTTTATCTTTGGTAAATAATATCCACACATGAACAGAACCTGAGAGGTTCTACAGAGAGCTTTACTGTGTTTATATTCACCCGTTCATACACCAACTACCAAACAAGGTGCTCTCCTTCGTTGGGAGCAACTAGTAGAATAAAAAAAAATAATGCACATAAAAAAATATTAAAACCAAATATTGTTCATAGAGGATCCAGAGAATCCTTGGGTTTATTGGTTTTTTGTGTGTATTGATGTTATTTTAGGTAAAGATCAGTGAGGTTGAGCCCCATTATTATGATTACTGAGGTTGATCAACACCTGAACCTCCAGAACTTCCTGTTCACACAGAATGAACGGAGAGCTTCAGACTGACGTGTTTGTCTGGTAGAGATTAGAGGAACTTTCCCGTCAGAGCTTTTGTTTTCATTCTGTTCTGTTTTCACAATAAACTCGAGCAGAGATCATCTGTGTCGTTGTTTTACTTTAGCATCGTTCTAATCTGTTTTCAGATCGCCTCATCGGCCTCCCAGAAGGTCGAGCCAGAAACCACAACCGACCCCAGCAGGTTCCGGCTCTGTCGGGGATCCACATCCAGGACGTGGCGGTCGGAGCCGAGCACACCCTGGTTCTGTCCTCCACCGGAGACGTCTACACCTGGGGCAGCAACTCGGAGGGACAGGTAACCCGCCGACACCCTGCCGGGTTCTGGGCCTTTAACCGGCTGGTTCTGGTTGTGTGTCTTTAATCCATTGATGGTTGATGTGGTTCCTGTGTGCTGCAGCTGGGTTTGGGCCACACCAACCACGTCAGAGAGCCCACGCTGGCGACGGCGCTGCAGGGGAAGAACATCCACCAGATCTCGGCCGGACGCTGCCACAGCGCTGCCTGGACGGCTCCGTCGGTACCGCCCCGAGCTCCAGGTCAGTCGGACTGAACCACATCTGTGTGAGGTGAAATCTGACTAATAAAAATAAAATACAATAAAATGCCTTTTCCTGTCTGCTTCCTTCCTCCTCTCTGCTGCCCCCTGCAGGCTCCTCGGTGCCTCTGCAGCTCGGCCTGCCGGTGGCGGTTCCTCCTCAGTACAGCGGGCTGAAGGAGGTGAGCATCGAGGCGGTCAGGGCTCGCCTTCGCCTCCTCTACCACTTCTCCGACCTCATGTACTCGTCGTGGAGGCTGCTGAACCTCAGCCCCAACAACCAGGTAGGAGCCTCCACAAATGATGTAGAGGAAGTATTTCAGCTTCAGATGAAGATGTGTTCGAGGTTTCTTCTGAATCTGTGCACGACGGTAAATATGGAAGGTCTATGTTAGAAAATTGGTGATCAGGTTTAATCTCTTCAGAAATGCACCCAAACTTCACCTTTGCAGGAAAAGCCCTCCGTGTTTTTGAGGTTCGTAGGATTTTTGGTGGTTGGTTTGAGAAGATGCTAAACAAGAGACTTTATTTCCTCTGCTTCCTCCATCTAGAAAGACGATCTAGGCATTAAGCTTTCCCCTCATTTGTTGTCATCTTATAATCCTTAAGGAACCTGGTGTGTTTTTCTCACCTCACCGTCTCCACCTGTTCCCCTGCAGAGCTGTACCTCCCACTACAACGCCGGGACCTGGGGCATCGTCCAGGGCCAGCTCAGGCCCCTGCTGGCCCCCAGAGTTTACACCCTGCCCATGGTCCGGTCCATCGGTAAGACCATGGTGCAAGGAAAGAACTACGGTCCCCAGATCACCGTCAAACGGATCTCCACACGGTCAGTACTACACTACGACAGTCTCAGCTGGTTCCCAGGTTGGCACCAGTACGTAGCGGCAGATAAGTTTATGAGAGTAATATTCAGACAAGAACTTTAAAGGACACCGTGGAGAAGGTCCCACAGAGGGATCGGTCTCAGGAGTGTTTAATGAACCGGCATCAGCATGAAGTTCTGCCTGACCCTTTGTTTACATTTGGTGTCAGCTGTTCCATACAGCCACACTCTTCAGGGTTAAACTTCCTTTGTTTTTCTTCCTCACCTGTCCACAGGGGGCGTAAGTGCAAGCCGATCTTCGTGCAGATCGCCCGCCAGGTGGTGAAGCTGAACGCCTCCGACCTCCGGCTGCCCTCCAGGGCCTGGAAGGTCAAGCTGGTGGGGGAGGGGGCGGACGATGCCGGGGGCGTGTTCGACGACACCATCACTGAGATGTGCCAGGTACGTTCACACCTGTTGGCGTTAACCTGAGTCCAGGTGTTGACCGGACAGCTGATGATGATGTGCTGTAAATGTTTTGCAGGAGCTGGAGACGGGGGTGGTCGACCTGCTCATCCCCTCCCCCAACGCCACCGCCGAGGTCGGCTACAACAGGGACAGGTGAGGAGGACACCTGCTGGAACGCTCTCTGAGATCCAGACTTAATTCTAATAGAAGTAGAGACCCGAGCTTTACTGGTGAAGCGGTCACTTGTGCACACGTTTGTCAGCTGAAGCATTTTAGACGTGTCTGCTGTTCTCTGAAAGCAGGTTTTGGGATTCTGAGGGTTTTAAAACCCAGATTGATCTGGAAGTAGTTTTCTCCACTACTGAGCTGTTAAACACCAGAAATAAAGACTTCCTTAAACCAGAACCTGATCAGTCGTTTCTAATACGTCTCCTTTTGGTTCGGTCCAGGTTCCTGCTGAACCCGTCGGCCTGCCTGGACGAACACATGCTGCAGTTTAAGTTCCTGGGCATCCTGATGGGCGTGGCGATCCGCACCAAGAAGCCTCTGGACCTCCACCTGGCGCCGCTGGTGTGGAAACAGCTGTGCTGCATCCCGCTGCTGCTGGAGGACCTGGAGGAGGTGGACCTGCTCTATGTGCAGACGCTCAAAAGCATTCTTCACATTGAAGACAGCGGCATCACCGAGGATAATTTCCATGAGGTGGGATTCCAC